TGGTACTGGTTGTTCCTTTCCTTATTTAGTACTTCTTTCAGGAGCTCTTGTAAGACAGGCCTGGTGGTGACGAAATTGCTCCACAATTGCTTGTCCATAAAGAATTTTCTTTCTCCTTCGCTTATGAAGCTTAGTTTGACTGGATATGAAATTCTAGGTTGAAAGTTCTTTTCTTTAAGGATGTTGAATATTGACCCCCACTCTCTTCTGGCTTGTAGGGTTTCTGTGGCGAGATCTGCTGTGAGTCTGATGGGCTTCCCTTTGTGGGTAACCTGACCTTTTTCTCTGGCTGCCCTTAGCATTTTTTTCTGTCATTTTAATCCTGGTGAATCTGATGATTATGTGCTTTGGGGTTGCTCTTCTTGAAGAATATCTTTGTGGTGTTCTCTGTATTTCCTGGACTTGAATGTTGGCCTGCCTTGCTAGGTTGGGGAAGTTCTCCTGGATAACATCCTGAAGAATGTTTTCCAGCTCTGATTCATTCTCTCCGTCACATTCAGGTACACCTATCAAACATAGATTAGGTCTTTTCACATAATCCCATATTTCTTGGAGGCTTTATTTCTTTTCACTGCTCTTTCTCTTTTCTTCCCTTCTCATTTTATTTCATTGAATTGCTCTTCAGTCTGATATTCTTTCTTCTGCTTGGTCAATTCAGCTATTGAAACTTGTGTATGCTACGTTAAGTTCTCATGCTGTGTTTTTCAGCTCCATCAAGTCATTTATATTCTTATCTAAGCTGTTTATGCTAGTTAGTATCTCATCTAAACTTTTTCAGCATTCTTAGTTTCTTTGCATTGGGTTAGCACATGTTTTTTTTTTAACTCTGAGAAGTTTGTTATTACCCACCTTCTGAAGGCCTGTTTCTGTATATTTATCAGATTCATTCTCCATCTATCTTTGATCCCTAGATGGTGAGGAGTTGTGATCCTTTGGAGGAGGAGAGGCTTTCTGGATTTTGGTGTGTTCATCCTTTTTGCACTGGTTTCTTCCCATCTTAGTGACTTTATCTACCTGTGGTCTTTGTAGTTGGTTACTTTTGGATGGGGTCTCTGAGTGAACGTCCTTTTTTTTTTTTTTTTTGATGATGAAGTTATTTCCTTGTTTCTTAGTTTTCCTTCTAACAGTCAGGCCCCTCTGCTGCAGGACTGCTGGAGGTCCACTCCAGACCCTGCTTGCCTGGGGATCATCACCCATGGGGGTTGCAGAACAGTAGAGTTGCTGCCAGTTTCTTCTTCTGTTATCTTCATCCCAGAAGGGTACCTGTGGGATGTTGACCTTCTGTGTTGTTCTTCCTGGGAACTGCACTCCGGATCTATTCCTATTCGGTCATCTTGGATCCTCCCCCCGTCAGCCACATTTCACATGACCTGGGAAATAAAAGGATAAGTGGTTCAGTCTCTGTTTTTAAGGCATTTCTGGTGTAATAATGGGGATACGAGCAATGTGAAATACAAATAGAAATCAAAGTACTCTATTGTGAAAATGTAAAAGATCATGGGGAAGTATGTTATCACTTGCTATGTAACAAAACTATCTCCATATTAAAGTAAATAAGCAGATCATTTTCTTTCTTCTACAAACATTGTGTTCTGGGTGAGGAAACATCCTCAAACATAGAATACAATCATGAGATTTTTCATCATTGAATGAAGGTTACACAGTCACTGGATTAAGAGTGTTACACCAGCAGATAGTAATATGTGAAGGACAAAGCAGCAATAATTCACTAATCATTTAGCAGAAAAATTAAAATATTCAGAGTTTCCATTATCAATCATATTTTATTACATATGTGCCATGGTGTTGAGGGAATACTTGTAGGTTTATGATAATCTAGTAAGAATCTGGAATTTTATGGGTTCTATCCCAGTTAATCTTGCCTATATCCATGGAATCTCATGCTTAAAGGGTTTTGGGGGTTTTTTTCCTTTGAGATAGATCTCACTCTATTGCCTGGGCTGGAGTGCAGTGGTGTGATCACAGGTCACTGTACCTCAACCTCCCAAGTGGCTGGGACCACAGGCACATGCCACCATAAACAGCTTATTTTAAAAATTTTGTGTAGAGACAGGAGCTCACTATATGTTGCCTAGCCTGGTCTCAAACTCCTGGGCTCAGGGAATCCTCCTGCCTTGGCCTCCCAAAGTATTGAGATTACAGGCATGAACCACCAGGCCTGGTCTTTAAAGAGATTCTGAGACCATAACTATTTCATTGGTTTTAAAAGTATGTATAATGTCTATGGCCATACCACCCTAAACACGCCCAATCTTGTCTAAAACTGTGTATAGTGTATGTATATTTATATCCATAATAGCTATAATCTGATCATGTGTAGGAGCCTTAGTACATTTTGTCCATCCCCGTCCTGCCATAGCACCCTAGTTTAAGCCATTAATTATTATCACTTGCATATGACAAAAAAAAAAAACTAGCTGGGAATTTCAGAATTGTTGCTTGAACAATAGCTCTGCTTTGTTTGTAATTAAATGGGGGGCTCTATACTCACTGCTTTATATCTCCGCCTCAAGTAGCTGGATATACTTTAAATGAACAATTTGGGTATAAATCCTGTATTCAGCAAATATTTATTGAATGGCCACTCTGCCCATGCACCACTGTAGGTACTGAGCTTACAAAAGTGAACAAAATAGGCAAGGTCACTGCATTCATTGGGCTTACCTTCTAGTGGTAAGAGGCAGAAAATAAGCATGTAATTAACTAAAGAGGTACAATTACTATTACTTTATATTTGCTTACATGCTATAAATAAAATAGAGTAATGGGGTAGAGCACCCTGTTTCACAGCTATAAGTTTTAATACAGTGCATTCATCATACATTTGAGCATACATTCTATAAGGGCTGGGATTACTTTTTTTGTTCAATTTTCTCAGTGCCTAAAACAATACATGGTAGCTTCTCATTATTTGTTGAATAAATTGATTAGTTGTGTATTGTGCCATTGTTCTTAAATAGTTTGAACACATTTAACTTTCTACTAGGGGATTGGGAGTTTCAAAAAGAAGTCTTAGAGATTTAGGGGTTCTTTCAGATCTGTTTGGGCAGAAGAGAGTTCTGCATGCCCAACTTGGATGAGCTTCAGTCTTATATCCTCCAGTGGAGTAATATGTGGGAAGCACAGAACTCTGGGATGCTGTGAAAAATCTTGAAGTTTATGTGTGGGTAATCGATGGGTATACATAATGCTTTTAACATGGAAGGTAGGTGACTTTCATCAAGCTTTTAATTGCTACTTGAATCTGAGAGTATTTCTGAATCCATCTATGTCTAAATGGGCCTTCATTTTGTTTTTAAGCACACTTTTTGAAGAACTAGCTCAATGATAGGAAAGGATAGACCTGTTTCAAAATTAAACATGACCATGGCTTACCCCTGACTTACTACGTTGGGGGCTTGTGTGGGATAGAGGACAGAGACCATATCTGTGTACTGTAAAAACTTGTTAAAGCCCCCTAGATGATAACTCATACACTTCTTTTTCAACTAGAAACACAATTGCATATTTTCATTTATTTAAATACACACATACACACACACATACACATTTAATGTTTATATACCATCATGGGCCCTTAATGACAGGATACGTTTGGAGAATTGCATCATTAGGCAGTTTCACTGTGTGAACATTATAGAGCATACTTACACAAACCTACCTGGTGTAGCCTACTATACACATAAGCTACAAACCCATCCAGCATGTGACTATACTGAATACTGTAGGTAACTGTAACACAATGGTAAGTATCTGTGTGTTTAAACATATGTAAACATGCAGTAAAAATATGGTATTATAAGTTATGGGACCACCATTGTAAATATGGCTTATTATTGACCAACATGTTTGTAGCACATGCCTGTAGTTGCTAGTAATCCAATGCACTTTCAACAGTTTTGAGTTATGAGGACCATGGATTTGCTTTATTCCTCTTTTAAAATATTTCATTATTGTGACTTATTTCATAAAGTAATTTAGATAATTTTTTGTCTTGTGGTTAGAGCAACACAGGAGAACAAGACACTTAAAATCATTAACCATGTCCATGTTTGTGTACTCTGGTGGTAACTCCTGAATGAAAGTAGGTACCTGAGGACCAGTTGTAGTTATTAAAATTTTAAGTTTAGGTTAAGTCTTTACTAAACAGTCTGAAATTTGGTTAAAACAGGTCCCAGTTGTTCTTCAATTGTTTGTTAATCCTTTATATTAGATGATATGACTATTATGATATTATATGACTATTATATCATCTTATTACGATATTATATGACTATTATATCATCTAATATAAAGGATTAGCAAACAATTTTTTTCTTTTTGCTTTCTGGTGGGTACTTCAAAATATTCCTAGGTGTCCCCAGTTGTCTTATACCCTGTTTATGTTTAAGAAAAAACTGATGAGTAGTGAAGAATTCTACCCATTGAACATTAGTATCTCTTAGAATATGCCATACATTTCCGTTTTGGAAACTAGATACTTATCATAAGCCTTTACCATACCTGAGCAAAAGGTATGTTAACATAACTACTTTGTTAGCCTACATGTATGAAATATATAGCAAAAGTAGAGTACAGCGATGTCTGTGTGTGCTGCCTCAAAGGCCTGTTGAAAAGAAAATGAAACATTTTTAGTGAAGCTGTTTAACTAAATTCTATGCTTAATGAGCATGCTGCCAGTACATTTAACTTCCTTATGGGTTACAAGTCAGAAGTAGGGCTAAAAGTAAGCTATCTTTAAATATTACTTTAATTTATATCGTATTGTCTTTCATTATGTGAATACTGAAGCCCACAAATGGAAGGACATTGCTACAAAGTCTTCAATTTAAATTCTGTAACTGAATAATTCTGAGAGAATTTGCTATTTTTTATTATGTCTAATAAAAGTTCCAAAAATTTTTTGCTCCAAGTGATAGGAAGAAAAAAATTGTAAGCATTCTCACAAGAAGAATAAATCATTATCTTTTTTAACCTAGTGTTCAGAATCAGGTGGATGAAGTTATTGATGTCATGCAAGAAAATATTACAAAGGTAATTGAGAGAGGGGAGAGACTAGATGAACTACAGGACAAATCAGGTACAGATCTTCATGTATTTCTTGATATTATTACTCTGTTTGCTAGTTTATGTCTTCTACTTGTCTAGCCAGTGTTTACAAATCTTGGCTTAGGAAATTGGCATTTGGTTCTTATATGTATGATTTTACTGGTTTAATTTTAACTCCTTTGCTCTGAAGAGTTTAAAATTTCATTGTTGAAGAGTAGAGCTGTTTTTTCTTTTGCCCTGTAATGTTGATGTACTTTGTGTTTCTCATGATCTCAGGGCCTAAAGACTTACCACTTTTCAACACTTGTCTCTAACTTACCTGATATTTTTATTCTATGCTTTATTTGATAACTTAGTCACCTTTCTTTACTTTCACTCGTTACACCTGTAACCTATACCTATACCTGGCACATACTTGGCACTCAAATATTGTTTGAATGGTGAATGGCTGAATAGCTGGTTAATCTTTTACAGACTTACTTAAAAAAAAAAACCTCGCTTAGTCACTTTTAAAATGTATTTTGTTTTCCTTTAAAATCAGTCACTGTTGATATTTAAGAACCTTTTCCACATGTTTTTTTTTCTAGAGGTGTGCCAAGTATTTGAATTTTTAAAGAGTATTTTCTTACTAGAATTCCTAAGTTTATTTGTAAGCATTGAGGCCCTAAAAAGACTTTTCTTAATTTTATAATAAAAAACGATTGCACAAACTGATCTGTAAGCTGTTTGTTGCTTTTGTTTTGTTAATGTATAATGCCAGAATTTGTGGGTGGGAAAAAAAGGGAGAATGTTGTTTTCATGCTTAAAAGGGAATCAATTTGCAGAAGTAGAAATTAATATTTTCTTATCTTTGTGTGACTAGATAAAAGAATCCTGTTATGTCGTTTAATCCTTCTCTCCATCCTCTATGTGATATAGAAAGCTTATCGGATAATGCAACAGCTTTTAGCAACAGATCCAAACAACTTCGAAGGCAAATGTGGTGGCGTGGATGCAAAGTAAGTAAATCAGAAGATACTGGGTAGATTGGTCAGCATCTGAAGTGGTATTCAAACACATGAAGAAAAAAGGGCCTCTAGAGCATAACCTCTGTGAAAACAGGGCCTATAACTGTCCTGAGACATGGTAGAAATACTTGTTAACTTAATGGCTTTGGGGACAGGGATAACTAAATAAGTATGCCTAAAAGGATATTTTCATATATTTTTTTCATGAAATTATTCCAGATTTTATTAATAACTTGGTTACCACTAGACTTACTAACTTGTAACAAATACACATTTTTCCTTATAATTTACTCAGTACTTTTTTGGAGCAACGTCTATAGCATTATGTAGAGCTATCAAAAAAATAAAGTGGAAGCTAGAGAAAAATATGACTTTTGGTTGAAGGGGGAAAAAAATAAAAGCAGCTTACATATCAGAATCTGTTAAGGCAAATAGAGTTAAGAAAAAACTCCACTTCCCTCATTATTCCAGAAAAACAAAAAATAAATTTTTAACAAGAAAAATATTGAGAATCGCTACATACTAATACACTCCTGCAAAGTATTTTATAGAAATAAAATTTACTTCTTAATCAAGTGTGACTACTAATCAATCATTAACAGAAAATGGTTTTCATGTTATGTGAGCAATTTTTTTTTCTCCTGATTCTAGGTATAATTTTTGGCTTTGTTGAAAATTTAGACATAAACTTAATGTTTTTAGTCTTTTGTTTTCAAATTTAGCAATAACTTTCTAAACCCGACTTAGCTATATGCTAAGAATTTTTTTCCAAGAGTTACCTTGGATTTGTTTCTTTTTATCTGTCTACCTATTGAATCGTCCTACTTCCAGAAGTAGAACTGAGGAAAGAAACATGTTTCATTTCTCCCCTTGTTCAAAATTTAAGTTTTCTATTCCATTTTAAATTATCGTTTAAATAAATTTATTTTCTTTAAAGTTTTCGTTTTCTTTTTTCTTTTTTTTTTTTTTTTGAGACAGTGTCTTGCTGTGTCTTCCAGGCTGGAGTGCAGTGGTGGGATGTTTTCTTACTGCAACCTCTGCCTCCCAGGTTCAAGTGAGTCTCCATGCATTGGCCTCTAAAATCTCCCAGATTCAAGCAATTCTCCTGCCTTAGCCTCCAGAGTAGCTGGGAGTACAGGCATATGCCACCACACCTGGCTAATTTCTGTATTTTTAGTAGAGACAGGGTTTCACTATGTTGTCCAGGCTGGTCTCGAACTTCTGGCCTCAAGCAGTCTGCCCACCTCAGCCTCCCAAAGTGCTGGATTACAGGCATGAGGTACCACACCTGGCCTAAAGTTTCTGTATCTATAGGAATTTTCTATTCTGTGGGCTAATTTGGAAAAACAAAAGGTCCATGAGCCATTCACCTCTTCTCTTCCCCCAAACTCGTACTCCATTCATGTGTCCACAAAAAGATGGTCATAATGGACATTTTGCCTAGCTTTTTTTTTTTTTTAAATGTTTGCTTTGTACTTTATGGGGTTTGGGTCAGAGGAATAGTGTGCTTTTAAGAAGGAAAAAACATTGAATTATATTTTTAAACAGTCATCACCTTGAGAACCTCTGGGGACCATGAATAGCATTGACTATATAATGAACACATTGTTCCATAATGTAACAAAGACCATTTATAGTAGCAAGTATTCTTCATTTATTGTGCTCTAATAATAGATGAAGCTTTCTTTCTAATAATAAATGAAGCTTAGCTTTCTTCAATTTTACTGTACTCCATTAATACTTCATTGTGCTACTTCATCTGGGGCAGCCTCCCATTTTCTAGATTGACTTCCATATTGGTAACTTAGGAAGGGTTTTAAGAGAAAGGATATAAGGACAGAACACAGATCAGGAGTTGCCAGTGGCTAAGGGGGATGTGGTGTGGTTGGAGATTGACAACAGGTCTTGAGGGAGCTTGTTGAGGGTGATAGTGGAAATGTCCTATATTAGATTGTGGTCATGTTTATTAACAGCTGGATATATTTGTCAAAACCTATCAAAAATAAGAGGATAAGTTTTATTCTGTGTAAAGTGTATTTCAGTATACCTGGCTTTAAAAATAAATTAAAAAAATTATCCATGGGTGGGGAAAGAATCGCTAACACCTCTCCTAATGTATCTAGGGAGCTGTGAAGCTCTTACATGTTTAATGACCAACAGATTTTTGTTCATGTTATTTGGCATAAGAGAACTTTGGACTTGCATGAATACAATATTGCCATTTGGAGTTGTAAACATTTTCTGCCCAGTGTTAGAAACCTATTCATTGAGGAATAAAACTATTCCTCAAGGAAGAAAACTAGCAAAAAAAAAAAAAAAATTCATCAAGGAAGAAAACTATTCATTGAGGTGTTTCAAAATTGATATCGATGTTTTCATTCAAATCTTAAAGCCAAACACACATTTAACAGGGCAAATTAATGTACATTTTAGGTAAGGTTGAAACACTACTGTAGACATTACAAATTATTTTAGAAATGTTTCAGGCTAATAAAGGATTAAAGTACTTAAATGTATCATCTAATGTGGACCCAGACACCTACTAAAAATATAGCTCCTGTCTCCAGTCCATTCTGATTTCTCTTTCTACATTTTTTGGTTATCATAAATTTTAAGAGGTACTGGTGTCCAGATTATAAATATTCCATATATTCTTTGGGTCACTTTGTTATATCATATTAAGGAGCTGACCAAGAACTGACCTTAAGGTTTCTTATCTCAATTACAAAACTGACACAGAATGCTCTTAGACAAAATTGCTTATTAAATGAGGCTATTCATAAAGAATCTAAAGTATATTCCTCAAAATGGAGATAAAAATGCCAAGAAGGGGAAAAAAACTAACAGAACTCTCATGTACTTTGAAAAAAACTGCTATAAACTGCTACCTTATATGTATTGAGCCATTTGAATTGAGTGGCCTATGTTACTCATCATGTTTTGACACTTGAACAGAGTTCCTAAAATATTGTGTATTTTCTCTGGTCTAACGTTAGTACTAAGTACAGCAAATCATAGAGGTTCAGGCCCATGAAGGCTTTAATTGTTACTGTTTACCCTGCAGTACAGCCTTGAACAATAAAATCCAGCAAAGTACTTCAAGTTTGGGGAACTCTGTTTCCCAAAGAATGAAAAATAGCAAGTTCATACGAGAAAAAAATTGGACATTTCAAGAAATGTGCCTATTTATTGAGATGATTTAGTATGATGCAGTAAATAGAAGAACAAATAGTCTTGACTTTATTAACAAGTCAAACATTAATATTCTTTATATGTCCTTTGTGTGTTATAGATAAAAGCCATCATGGCTTTGGTTGCTGCCATCCTTTTGCTAGTGATTATCAGTAAGTATTTGTCAGATTAGTACTTCTTAGGGTATCATTTATTTTGAGTTCATTTTAATACCCTTTTAAATTTATTTTCAGTTGACCTATTATGTCTGAAGCCAGGATTGAATAATGACTTCTGACTTGTGTCAGGAGCTCTTAGAATATATAGATTTCTGAAAATGCTCTTAATTTAAATGTATAATTTGATATGCATATGCATATTTACATTTTTATGGAGAGAGAGCCTGTATCTTTTGACAGATTCTCAAAGGGAACTCCTGTTCTGTCCCCAGCCCTCACCCCCAAATCCAGGGCTAAGCGATTTGTTCAAGGCCAAATATGGTTCCTGTTACACTAAGGTCTAAAAACATTAACATTAAAACAAGATGGCAGTTTGCATCTTGTAATATTGTTTTGGAAGGATAAATCCAAAAATGTTCTCAAGGTGATTTTTTTGTTTGGTTTTTGTTTTGTTCTACATTTGAGCATAAATTTCCATCATTAAAGCATGACTCCTTCTTCCTCTTTCCCTTAATGTTCTTTTAAAAATCATATCAGTTTAAATATTTCTTTTTCTTCAAGGCCTCTCTACCTACATTTACAGAGATTTTATTAAAGTATCTAAAAATAATCATTTGAAAAATTATGCTGTTATCTTAAACAAAAAAAATGTTTTGTTACCAAGAAATACAGTCAATCCTCATTATTCATAGATTCTGTGTTTGTAAATCCACTTACCAGGTAAAATTTGTAACCCCAAAATCAATACTCATGGTGCTTTCAGTTATTTACATACATGTTTAGAGTAACAAAAAATTTAAGTCCCCCAACCTGCACATTCCTAGCTGAGGTTAAACAAAGCCATTTCTGCCTTTTTATTTCAGCACTCATTACATAAGCATGTTCTGTAAGGTCACTACAAACACTACTCCTAGGGAAAATACAGGGTTGTAGTCTAGTTAGTGCCACGTTTTCTGCTTTTTGTTGGTAATTTCATTGTTTAAAATGGCCCCCATGTATAGTGCTGAAGCGCTCTCTAGTGCTGCTCAGTACAAGAAGGCTGTGATGTGTCTTCATGGAGAAAATACACATCGAACAAACTTGTGTTCAGGCGTGAGTTATAATGCTGTTGACCTTGAGTTCAGTGTTCTCAATCAATAATATCTATTAAATGTCTTTAAGCAGAAACACACATAAAACAAGATTATATATTGATTGATTGACAAAAAATGTAGTAGCCAGAAATTCACAGGAACTTAACCCTGTATTTTCCCTAGGAGTAGTGTTTGTAGTGACCTTACAGAAAACTACCTTAAAAAACAAGAATCAATCATGTATATATGGTGGGCAACTGGAAAATGCGAAATATTAACATAAGAAAATAAAATTCAACTATAATCTTATAATACAGAGATAGCTACTATTAATATAACTATTATATATACTTCTCTTTTCCAATATACAACCATGTTTTTTTTAAAAAACAAAGGCTATATTATATATACTTTCTAATAAATATATTGTGAATATTTTCCCATGTTATCAAAATTTTTAGTAATATTTTAACAGCAGATACAAGCTATGGCTATGCCATAATTTATTTAGTATGCCAATGTTAAGACATTTAGGTTTTATGATATTTTTTGCTTCTACTTTCTCATTATTACCTCAGATAAAAATTCAATCCTTATTACCCATTTCTAAAAGTAGACACAACTACATTTAGGGATATTGCTTCAAACATGGCATATAAATCTGATGTTGAGATATTGTTTTTTTCATTTTTTTCTTACAGTTCTTATAGTCATGAAATACCATACTTGATTTGATGACAGAAATCTTCATTAAACAAGATCTGGGACAGTAATAAAAGATTGCTGCATAATTTAAATGAAACCTATGTGTATATAACTTTCAAAACTTTCAAGAAAATAAGAGGCAAGTATCACTTCAAATTGGAACGTTGAGAATGTCCAATTATCTTCTCCCCTTCTAACAAAATGTTCTTTTAATAATTATGTTTAAGGCAAAGAGAACTAGCCTCTATTTTTCCATATTTCAAAGGTCTGATTTGAAACTAGATACTTGCCAGTTCATTATTTGTGTATATAAACACTGATGATAATGTTTCATACTAGTATTTTAATGGTATAAGGACTTAAATTATTGCATTAGGGAGCGGGTCAGTTGGAGGTCAGGAAGCCTATGTAGAGTACCAAATTATTACGCTGAAAAAGATGCATAACCATTCTGTCAATATTTGCAAAAATATCATTCTTTTCATATTACAGTTCTTTTGCAAGCAATTTTCACATTTATACATGTAACAAAAGCTAAATGTTGTAAATGTTGTTGCCTTCAGCTATAACTAAAAACATTCCAGTAAATATATTTTTGACTGTGTAAGAGAATGTGTAGTAATTTTTTTGGCATTTGGATTATGGAAAAGAAAAATTTAAACAGGGTTGAAAACATAGTATGGTACCATAAAACTGGAGATAATAAAGTTATTGAAGAGTGTCATCAGAGTGTTTGGAAATGACCAATATATAGCTGCCAGTCATCGTCCAGTCTGTTTTCAGTTAAACTCCAGTAAAGAGACACCAGTCAGTCCTAATGTGAGTAAATGAAATTCACAGGTAACTTACTCCTTAATTTTAGTTAATAGCCTCTAACTTCCAACTATCTAATTTCCCAAAAGTATGAAAAGTAGCAAAGCCATATGTTAATACTTTGAATTTTATATCTTTGCATTTCCTGTTCATTTTTGGGGAAATGCATGTTGCACAATCAAGTTTTACATCAGCCAACAGTAATGAGTAGTAGAACGTCAGGAACCTAGGTATCTACATACAGGACAGTCCAACAGGACAGTCCATCAGTCGGTAACCATATACTAGAGAGTGACCGTTAACCTGAGCCTGGTTTTATAATAAAAAAATGTGTTAACTTTAAAGTATGCCAACCTCCTTGTGTCTTTTAAACAAGTCAGAGTGAAAATATTGTCCCCTAAGGTGTGGGGAGAGGAAGCTTTATAATAAAATTAGTGATTCTGCAGAAACTTGTACACTGGATATCTTGAAAATATGAATACAAAACTCCCTAAATTAAAAATAGGGTTAATAGAAATTACCAGTATTTAAATAGGGAAAAATGATTTTATGTTCATTTTATTTAGGTTTTATTTCTTTGGTCATCTTAATGCAAAATGAATAAAACATAGAATCTGGGTTTGATGTTTGGTCTTTTTTTTTTTTTTTTTTGGTCTGTTTTTAAAATTTTACAGGATTATTACTAGGAGGCAAAAAATGTTTAGAATGGAAAGAAATTTGAAGAGAGAAAACAAACTAAGAGACACCCAAGACACCTGCAAGTTATCTAATAATATCTAAATAGAACTACTAAATTTTATAGTTTGCTTAGAGCGTTAGGAAGATGATAAAGGTCTTACATACTATAGAGTGTTGTCTCTGGTCTCTGTGCTCTTTGTAAATGTCAATTAGTGTAAACAGCATCTGAACTGCTAATCTTTTAACAAATTAAGATACCCAGAAAAATGAGCATTTTTAGAATTTCAGTAGCTAATAGTTCAGGAATAGAAATGTTTTAACTGAATGGACAGAATCAGTCCTAACATTTGTATATATATCCTTTATTTGAATTGGAACTAGACTCAGAAGTGGTTAATTTTCCATTAGTTGATGTGGAAATCTGGTTTCTCCATACTATCTACAAGTGAAGATGAAGATTACTTTTCAAAAAGTATTCATATTTCCAGTGTTTCTTTTAAAAAAGTATGCCACTTTTAAATAATTACAAAAAGTAAAATTATAAAATTGTTTTAATTTTAATCATAAGAAAAATTAGTATTTATATGACAATATTGTGTATATGTCGCTGTCTTTGTAATTTAAACATATTGCTGCCACGGATATGGGTAACAGACATATCACTCTTAGAACTTTGTAGTAGAGATGGCTTAGTTCGTAGTTGATCATTTCGTCTTTCTTGGTCTTAATTAATCCGAAAACCCTTCAAATGGCTGGCATGGTTATGACTTTATTGTGGTAACCTTGGAGATGTGAGCCCTCTTATGATCAAAAACAGAAGAAAAATGTATCGTTCAAACTGATGCTAGGCCTACCTTCATTCCCTCCCTTAATCACCTTTTTTCTCATTCAGCTCAGATCATCCTGCACTTGAAAAAGGAAGTTTTACCACCATCAAAACTATCATTATTTAACAAGTGAAGATTAACAGAAAAATTCAAGTAGCTTTGCACATACTAGTTGATACTCAGTGAAATCACATCACTATTTTTATGCCTGAATCCATACCCTTGTGATTTATGTTTAATTACAGAAGCCTATTGCCTTGCAGCAGTTTTGTTATTATAACACTAATTAATTGGTTACCACTCCTTATTATAACTCAGTAATATCTGTGGTTGTTTGGCTCCTCTATCCTGACAAAGTTCACTGGAAATTGCCCTCAGATTTTATAAACTGGGGATTTCTTAATTAGATGAAAGTTCACTATTGAAGATGGAATATTATATAAGATATAGAAATACTTTGTTAGCCCTCCTACAGATTGCCTATTATAGTCTTTCTGTGCATTTCAATACTCTGTATTAGAAAATTAAAACTTCGCACATTTGATAGCAAAAATTGGCATTTTTTAATTCTGTATGGTATGTGATAATACGTGTACAGACTGAGAAGGCAGGAATATAATGTAAAGAAATTGAAATCTCTCATTGCTGGTATACTCTAAAACATGCTTGATGCCTTGTCAGCATCATTACCCACATTGACTCTGTATGTATATCTGTATATACACTATGATTAGAAAATATGCAAGAAACTGTTTTTCCGTGTTAAGAACAAATGCCATTAGAAGATGTCCCGTTAATTGTATTGTCAGAGTACTACTAAGTCAAGGGTGACTGTTCTGTTAACCTAATTTTGTGTTTTCACATGGATGGACTCCATTTTTCTGTGAGTTGAGAATAAGAGCTTAAGTCAGTTTGAAAGCATTTACAAGTTTGCTTTAGAATGTAGTGTAGTGCTTATATTTGTGAAGGAAATTGGCACAAAGCAGTGGAAAGACAGTGGATTCTAAGGGCTGAAAGGTGTTCTACTTTTTGGCTGCTTTTCCCATGTTGTAGACAAATAACATGCCTGAGACTGATGTAGGGTTTAGGTCCTCTTTTTAACTTTGATGTTAGGCTAACTCTGATTTTTTTTTTTTTTTTTTTTTTCTGGAAACCAAGTAGAATTAAGGATGGGAACACAAATACTTTTATTCTGGCTCCTGTTTTTGTTTTTTTCCAAGAAGCTTCTTGGAACAAATCAATAGGAATTGAAAGGAAGCATGGCCAACCCAATTACAGGGGATAAATGTAAGCTTGTGAAAGCAAGCACCACACCATGTTTCCGTCTCCCTAGCACCTAGCGCAGTGCTGTGTACCTTGGCAGATGCTAGATAAATGTGTGTTGAATGAATGTACCCCTGAAGTCACAAAGATGCCACAAGTTAGTATATCAGTGAGAGCTGACTCCACAGTGCTCCCTGGAGAAGCAACATGAGTGACCGAAGAGTGGGGCCTTTGGCCTTTGCCTGGATATAGGGGTGCTCTTCTACTGTAACTGGGTATGGAAAAACTCTGGCTTTATGGTATCCCATTAGGTTCTTTGCATTTGAAGTAGTCTTAAAATCAAAGTATCAAATATTTTAAAGCAACAAAGATTACATAATTAGCAGAGATTTTAGTAAAATGTTAGAAGTCAAACTATAAGAAAATTCAAGCGCTTTATTTTGTGTCTTGGGTATATGTCATTATTTTAAATTCCACACTCCCTTATTTAATCACTTTGGTAAGTGCCTTTGATGTTTTGAGATGTATAGTGGGAGATGAGCAAATGTAAATGTCATGTGCCCTATTCCCTAGCTTCTCAATTCCTCATAACCATTTTTACCAGTGTTGCAAAGTTTAGTCCTTTGTGTTAATATCAGAAATGTATTTGTAGCCCCTCCACAGTGAACAGTGAAATAAACTATTTCATAGAAAACAAAAATTAAGCACTTTGGCTTATTCAATATGTGTTACCTGTTGCCTTAGCTTAAAAGCATAGCTTATTAAACAGTAACATCTAGATAATCACTCCTGATTTAATCTATCATATTTTCCCAATAAAATGCGTGGAAGAAAAAAGAAAAAGAAAAGGTATTCTTTTACCAAAATTTATGCCTGATACTGATGAAATCTAAGAGGAATTTCTCAGTGATTTTAACTCAATAAAGCAATGTCTTTCCTTAATTAAGTAGTGTCAGCAGGAGAGGAAAGCAAGCAATTTTCTCTTAAACTTACATGCCCCAATCAGAAAACCTGATCCTGTCCCTCAGCTGCCTAGTGTTTTAGGCAACCAGAGTAATGTCCATTCCCTCTAGCCTCCCTCCACCCACACACTAAACTGTTTTTGTTTTTGAGACCGGATCTTGTTCTGTCCTCCCAGGCTGAAGTGCAGTGGCATGATCACAACTCACTGCAGCCTCCAACTCCTGGGCTCAAGCAATCCTCCCCTCAGTTCTCCCAAGTGGCTGGGACGACAGGCATGCACCACCATGCCCAACTAATTTTATAAAAGTTTTGTATAGATGGAGTCTCACTATGTTGCCCAGGCAGGTCTCAAATTCCTAGATTCATGCCATCCTTCTGCCTCATTGTCCCAAAGTGCCAGGATTACAAGTGTGAGCCACCACATCAGGTCTTTATTGTCTTAATACTACAAAGAGACGTGGGAGGGGAGATGACATTGGGGGCACATTGTACCCTGAGATAGTCTTCACCAATAAAGCGCTTTAGTCAGAAATGGAGACGAGAAGCAGCCTGGTAAGTGCACTCTGAGAATGACCATGTTTAATACAAGCCACCATTCAACAGATGAGAGAACCAGCAGGAAGATCAGATCCTACCGAAATCCAGCAGAGTCGTACTTTAGTGCGCACCCATCACACATTAAAAACTGCTGTGGAGCAGTAACTATCAGCCTGCTTTTCGACTGTCAGTATAAGAAGGGATTCGACTAGTAAGCAAAGCTACAACTGAGCAGTCAGTGGTGGTGTAGTTACCCTATTTATTGAGTAATTGAGCCAGGTCTCATCTGAGGATGTCTAAAAGGATACACGTGGATCTATGAGTAACACTAAAAACATGGAAAAGAACATCCTCCTGATCATTCCCAGCAACACACTAACTCTCTTCCTCAAAAAACTCCAACCGTCTCTCCTCTCCACTTCCCCCCAGCCCCTTTGCCAACTTCTACTATATGTATACACACACATCTACACACCCATACTTTTTAAAGAGACAAGGTCTCTATCGTGTAAGCTGGAGTGCAGTGATGCAATCATAGCCGACTGCAACCTTGAACTCCCAAGTGATCCTCCTGCTTCAGCCTCCTCGGTAGATGGGATCACAGGCATGAGCCAACATGACCAGTCCTCATTGCTATATATTTTTGATAATTGTCCTCTTCCTCACATATACTTTCCTGTGGCAGAATTTAGAGAGGCTGAAGAATATATGAATAGTGTAGTAGAAATAACATGGGTGCTGAAATCATGGGCTCTGGGTTGTTTTGTTTCTAGAGACGAGTTCTCACCATTTTGCCCAGGCTGGTCTTGAACTCCTGGGCTGACGTTGTCCTCCCACCTTGGCCTTCCCAGAGTGTTGGGATTACAGGAGTAAACTACCATGCCTGGCTACAGGGAATGTTTTGTTTTTGAGACAGGGTCTCTGTCACTCAAGCTGGAGTACAGTGGCACAATCATAGCCCACTGCAGCCTTGAACTCCTGGGCACAAGCAGTCCTCCTGCCTCAGTCTCACTTGTAGCTAGGATTACAGGTGCCACCAGGCCTGCTGGCTCCACTCTGTATCATTATTCCTTATTTTAGTAATAATCCTTGAAAGATTTAGCTGTACTTGGTATCTCCAGTTCTTTTTTGTTTATTCTCTTAAGCACTTCAGTCAAGATTTTGCCTCCACATACCACCAGACTTACTCTTGGGAAGGTGACCAGTGACCTCTGCATTGTTAGATCCAGTGGTCTATTCTCAGCCCTGATCTCTGTGCAGCAGCAGCATTTGATGGAGTTGATAATACAATCCACCATTCAACAGATGAGAGAACCGGGCAGGAAGATCAGTTCCTACCTAAATCCAACAGAGTCATACTTTAGAATGCATGCCTATCACACACTAAAAACTGCTGTGGATCAGTAACTATCAGCCTGCTTTTCAGCTGTCAGCATAAGGGATTCTGACTAGTAAGCAAAGCTACAACTGAGCAGTCAGCAGTACTATACTTCCTATTTATTGAGTAATTGGGCCAGATCTCATCTGAGGAGGTCCTCCACGTACATTCTGTCCCATCTTCTTCATACATGCTTCCAGGGCTTTGTTTCTTCTTGCCCTCATGATTGTTCCTCCTGTTCTCCTCAACTCTTAATATTGGAGTGTCCAGGATTCAGCTCTTAGTCTAGTCTTTACACACGTTCTCTTATAAATCTTACTTGGCCGGGCACGGTGGCTCACCCCTGTAATCCCAACACTTTTTGGAGGCCAAGGTGGGCAGATCACAAGATCAGGAGATGGTGACCATCCTGGCTAACACAGTAAAACCCTGTCTCTACTAAAAATACAAAAAAAATTAGCCAGGCGTGGTGGCATGTGCCTGTAGTCCCAGCTACTTGGGAGCTGAGGCAGGAGAATTCCTTGAACCTGGGAAGGTGGAGGTCACAGTGAACCGAGATTGTGCCAGCCTGAGTGACAGGGCGAGACTCTGTCTCCAATTAAAAAAAAAAAAAAAAAAAAGGAAGAAATCTTACCTAATGCTATAATTTAAAATTGCATCTATGTGCTGACAGATCTCAAGTTGTTGTCTCCCACTTGACTTCCTTGAATTTGGAGTCATCCAGTACTCTTGACATCTTCATTATTTCAAGTTTAGCTTGTCCCAAACGAATTCCAGTCTGCTTTCACAGACCTCCCCCAATGCATTCTGTCCCGTCTCAGTTGATGGCAACTGAATCCTTCCAATTAGTTAGGCCAAAAACCGTGGAGTCATAGTGACTCTGTAATTTCTCTCACAACCCATCTCTAATTCGTCAGGAAAACCTCTGGTGCTACCATTAAAATATCTTTAGAATCTGACTGGTTTGCACTGCCTCCATTGTGACCACCTGGTCCTCTGCTGTCGTCATCTCTCACCTGGAATATTGCAATAGCTTTCTAATTGGTCTCAGGCTTCTACCTTTCCCCCTCTCCCCAGAGTCTGTTCTCAACTGAATCGTGAAAATAATTCTTTCAAAATATAATCAGATCATGCCATTTCTTTGCTCAAAACTCTTCAAAGGCTTCCCGTCTTCCTCAGAGTGAAAGCCAAAGTTCTTTCAGTGGCCCACAGGGTCTCATGATGCATCCCCAAGTCACCTTGCTGACCTCTGCCCCTGTCTTTGCCTTCCTTGCTGTGCTGCAGCCACGCCAGCCTCTCTGTTTTTCCTCAGACACACCAGGTGTGCTCCTGCCATAGGCCTTGGACCTGCTGTGTCGCCTGCCAGAAAAGCCCTTCCTCCTCAACTGCTGCATGAACAGTTCTCTTAAATGACTTTCTCAAAATCTCCTCAAGTACACCATCCAATCCCCTTATTCTCTTTTTTCCAGAATATTCTAACATTCCAGAATTTTCTCTGATCTATCCCAAACCACTCACTACAACAGCAAGTGTCAAAGTGACTGCTCAAATAATTGTTAAATGTATTATCTTGAAGATGCAAAGGAAGATGGTAGTTTTGAAAATATGCACCAGAAGAACTAAATTGATTTTGAGAACCTCAGCATCACAACAGGATGAAACCCATGTTTTCGGAATTCAGCAAGTCATAAAGAGAGAAAAGGCGAGGCAAAAAGTACAATTAAATGTGTTATGTAGACAATTAGGTCAACCAAAAGGGGAGCAAGTTAAAATCATTTGCTGGGAGACAAATTGCATTACAAACATCCCGCCTATCACCGAAGCAGTGTGGAGTAGAATTGGTTGAAGAAAATCAGTGATGCGGAAGAGAGGTTCGAGAAGCTGCCATGGAACACAGAGGAAAAAAGATCAAAACTGTAAATGGACAGGGTGATGTTAGACCTAGGAGACAAAAACAAACAAAAAAAACCCTACTACTAAGAATTACATAGTGTTCCTGTGGAAGAAATCCAAAAAGTGGAACAGAGCAATCATCAAAAACATTATTTTTCATGTATTCTTTGATGAAAAATACAAAGCTTTTCATGTAAAGCTTTGTAAACTTAAGTTTTAATAAAGTCTTTCGGGAGAAAAAAATTTGTCAAAAGACACAGTAAGTTACATTGTGGTAGAGTATATGATTACAAGATTAAAGGGGTAAATTCAATAAGCACTGAGACCTGAAAAATGTGTTACCTACAAGGAAGCAAAAATTAAGCTTGTCTCAGTGTTTTCTACCACTAAATTATAAAAATACTAGAGGATACTGCTGTAAGTCAAGAATTTTTATACCAAATTAGTTGTCACTTAAGAATGAAAACCACTGAAGATTCTGTGGACCACTGGAAATTTTTTTAAAAAGGAAAGGAATGCACACCAGACTGGGCTCAGTGGCTCACACCTGTAATTCTAACACTTTGGGAGGCTCAAGCAGGAGGATCACTTGAGCCCAGGAGTTGGAGACCTGCCTGGGCAACAGGGTGAGACCTTGTCTCTACAAAAATTTTTAAAAATTAGCTAAGCATAGTGGTGCATGTCTGGAGTCCCATATACCCAGGAGGCTGAGGTGGGAGAATCATCTGAGCCCTGGAGGTCAAGGCTGCAGTGAGCCATGATAGCACCACTGCCTTCTAGCCTGGGTGACAGACAGAGCAAGACCCTGTCAAAAAAAAAAAAAAAAAAATGAAAGCCACAAACACAATATTCTTAAAAATATGAGAGTTCAGAAAACATCCTTATTTTTTTCTTGATAAAAATTACTGGAAAATTTATGTTATACAGGCAGCT